GGGCCGCGGAGGGCCGGCGGTGGCGGTTGGTTCCGGGGAGGGCGAGGCGGCAGTTAGGCCGGTGGTGGCTGGTGGCTCAAGGAAGGAGATGCATCGAGAGGTTGAAGAAAGACCGTGGGCCATTAATTTCGCATCCAACGATTCAAAAATCGACTGACCTCAAACAAAATTTTCAGCTGACTAATTTCTAGCCACATCCTCTTTTGAAATAGCTATATAACAAATATCAAAATAGTAATGGTATCCGATTTGGTGAGGAAAATCGCTTGCAAAATAATTCGGTGTGTCATTATAGATTGTCAGTTATAACCTTGATACAACACCTATTGCCGATAGGGATCTAGCACAATGACTAGTGTCGGACTTGTGTATGTATTGGGTGAGTTGTTTGGTGGTTGATAGGTAGTACCATAGTACTTTGATGATTGAACTTACGGGTTGAATCTACAGGTAACAAAAAACAATAAATTGGTTTGTGCATCAAGATGAAAAACTTAGGGGTTTTCCTCTTGAGTCGCGACCACCAAAGCGGCTCAAGAGTTCCCTCTTGTCCACGATTAACCTCTCTTATCGACCCTTTGCGTCGTCTTGGAGGGCTTCATTCCGGGTTGACTTAACACATGTGGGCAGCGAGAAGGTGGTCTTGTTGCGCTCCATGCATACATTTGCATCGTTCTCAAGGCCTCATTTTGAGACGACATCACAAGCGCATGCGTCGGTGCATCATCTTCAAGAAGTTCCAGTAGCGGTCTGGTACGAGTGTGTTTGCATATTCCCAACGAAGCTCCATGGTGTCGTTGGCATGCATGCTATGGCTACTCTTTCCCCATCATGTAATTGGGGGTGGGTGCTCCGCAAAACATAGGGTAATGAGTCTACCCTTTTTTAGCTCTAACCTCTAAGGTGTGTGCATCAAGATGATCTTTGTTGGTTGGGTTAGATTTGACAACGATGTCCGTGTGCAACATCTCGTTCTTAAAGGTGTTGTACTTATGCTCATGATGATATGATCTTCACTACATATTTGGGTTAGTTTTGGGATGACCAAATAAGGTGAATCCATGTTCTGGCCTTCACATATTGGCTCCCTTACCAACATGGATCAGCGGTACATATGTTGCTACCTTCGTGAAGATGTTGTCTTGGTGGAGTTTAGTTGGGTTAAGTGATATGTTGTTCGTTGAAGGAGCAACATGTTATTGAGCTACCAGTGGCGGGTTCTCAAATGTTAGCTAAGGGTAGTGTTTTTTCCACTTGTATGTGCCAAACGAAAAAAGTCGGCCAACAGTAAAAAATGAAAACCAAATTTGCGTCCATATTTAATCTTTTCAAGTGAAACCCTTCATTCATCATCATTATTTACATCTGGATAGTGGAAGTACATCCTCAATAGATGAATATGATGCTAGCTCATCAATTTATAAAAAGATACGCTATAAAAATAAAGTGATAACAAGAGGGACAATAATTTAGTTCAACCCAGCTAGCGTCCCAACAGGGTAGATCTAAAGGCCAGGTTTTAGTTGAAGCTAAAAGTCCTTTGTTACATAGCTTGATTATCAGGCCCTAAAATCTGGACCAATGCAATAGAGGCATCGACAATGCTCTGAATAGTATACTGTGTTGCATCACTGCAAAATGGGTGATAATCTACACCAAACAAAAATAGTAGAGCTCGGAGCATCTCCAACAATTACATGTTCCCAATAACAGTCAATCTTCCTCTATCATTCAAAGGGAGAGTTGCCCTTCTCCCAATCCAATTCCCAATACTATGACGTCAATGCACCACCCATTGGACCGACACACCATCGCCGCCGCACAGCGTAGGTCGCATGTCACCTCCAACGTCGTGTATTCCTGTATGTCAGGTTGACAAGTGGGCTCGTATGTCAGGTTGGTTATTGGAGAAGATTTATTATGGATTTGCTGGAGCATTCATCCCCAATAATTAGAAAGGTGTTAATAGGGAGCCCCAATAAGTTGTTATTGGCACACTGTTTTGGTGAGTTGTTGGAGATGCTCGCAAGGCTGTATAGAAATCTGTTGTAAAAATGGTTATTGATTACACCTTTCACTACATCATCGGAAAAGTAAAGGAACGCACAAAGATTGCATTGAAAAATTTATCCAAGATATGAGAAATATAAACTCTTGGTTACCTATTGATAAGGAATTCTGTTTTGAGGTATGACAGGCATTTGTCAAAATAGAAGCTTATAATTTCACGAAAATGCAAAATTGCCAATTTGTTCGGTCTCATCAAGGCAGTTGATAGGTTTCATAAAAAGCATGCCAAGAAAAGTATATATGTTGTACTGGAACAATCTTATACTAAAAATAAATATGCAGTGGTAAACGAAGAGGATAAGAAAATAATTGTACCTCGTTCTTCCAGTTTTGTTGAGCGTTATTAATTTGTTATAAAAAAATCTTCCTATATGAGAAAAATGAGCAATTCTCTTACTCTTCATTGCCACATTCAACTAATACATGATACACAACACGATAAAGAACACAATGAATACTTAATTATCCACGAAGAGCTATTGGTCAAACCATCACATCACTAAATATGGGCCAAAAATTGTAAAAAACAACTAAGAAAGCACTAAAGAACTTTTATGGTGAAGTGGTGATTAGAATTGGCAAATAATTGTTGGGGAACGCAGTATTCCAAAAAAATTCCTACAATCACGCAAGATCTATCTAGGAGATGCATAGCAACGAGAGGGGGAGAGTATGTCTACGTACCCTCGTAGACCGAAAGCGGAAGCGGTGAATAACGTGGTTGATGTAGTCGAACGTCTTCGCGATCCAACCGATCAAGTACCGAACGCACGGCACCTCCGCGATCTGCACACGTTCAGCTCGGTGACGCCCCTCGAACTCTAGATCCAGCTGAGGCCGAGGGAGAGTTTCGTCAACACGACGACATGTTGACGGTGATGATGAAGTACCGACGCAGGGCTTCGCCTAAGCACTACGACAATATGACCGAGGTGGAAATCTATGGAGGGGGGCACCGCACACGGCTAAGAAATCAACTTGTGTGTCTATGGGGTGCCCCCTCCCCCGTATATAAAGAAGGGGAGGAGGAGGAGGGTAGGCCTCAAGGGGCGCGCCCAAAGGGAAGATTCCTACTCCTAGTAGGAGTAGGTTTTTGTGACGCCCGGATAATTAGGCTACAGTAAAACTCTGCTAATGATGCCACGTCACCACTCTTACTGTTGTAAACCTCACGATGATTCAATCCCGTCTGAATTCAAAAATTCAAAATCAAGGCAAACAATAAAAGTTTTCAAACATTAAAACTAAAATGTTCTATATGTGCCAAATATTGCATAAATAATTATGGTGGAGAATCCACATTTTTATAAAGTATTTAATGTCACTGAAATAAATAAAACAGTAATAAAAACTAATAATTAAATGCCTTTACTAATTAGTAAATTATCAAACTAAATTAATTGGGGACTAGACATTTTGTGACGGTGGACTAAACTGAGATACTAAATTAGATGCTATGTATATATTTTACAGAAACTAAAATAAAAGGTGACTAAAGTAAAACAGGAAAGAATAAATAAAAAGAAAAGAACAAATAGAAAACAAAAGAAAGAAAAAGGAGAAAGAAAACCCCCCTGCCCCCCTGGGCTTCGGCCCAGCTCACCGGCCTCTCGGCCCTCCTGGCGACCGGCCGGCCCAGCCCCCCCCCCTCTCTGGCCAAGTTGGCCACTACACCAGGCCCAACCCACCCC